CCATGGAAAAACGAATGTTGAAAAAATATTTGTGATAAAAGCAATAGTATCATGCATATCCCTTGTGAAAGCTTGGCTATCATTCAAGTACTGAGCAGATATTATGAATCCAAGTAACAGTTTCCAATGGATCACAAACTCATCCATAATAGAGAGAAATGCAGCTAGTTAACTAGAAGTTTTGTTTAGTAGTGAAATTTGAAGTACAGACAGGTAATAAAATAGGTTAGTAAATTTTGTAAATAAGACCTTATTTTTAAGTTTTAGGATGAATTTTCCCCTTTTTTGGGGAAAACCAAATTCAGTGAAATATAGTGAGTTATCCATCGCTTTTTTCAGTTTATCCGGTTGAAATTATTATCAAGGAAGTTAACTAAAAACCAGACAATAAAATTATTCAACAATTTCCTTTTTGAAATGATGAATCACAAAGTATCATTTCACTTTGTTTCATACCATCACTAGATTTTTTGCGATGAAATCATCACCTTGCTACAATTTCGAAAAACTTGCTGTCACCTTCTGAAAGCATGAAACTTAGATTGTTCTGTATTTCGAGAGAAAAAGCCAAATGTGGACAAATGATAGCACGTTTTTCGTATAGAAACACTGAACACAACTTTGGGAAACAATGTGGAAATTTCTGAACAGCTGTAGTAACTGAGATGTTGCCTGAGCTGTTTGGAAAGACTTATTTACAACATCAACAACATAGGTCTACCTTCTAAGTGAACGTCAGTCATCGATAATGTTCACACTGAGTCGCAGCCAGCAGATTGTAGGCACATACATGATCTTGACTAAAATAAAATGCTATGGTTAGGAGAAGAAATTTTAAACTACACGAACTTCATTCCATTTGAAATTGTTGCGTATTCAAAGTCATTAGTTAAGATTGACTGAGTTTTATAAAAAATTTCTTTTTCACCTGGCGACTTCTTGCTTGAAGAAAGACCTTTTGTTATAGGCAGAATTTGTAGTATAGGTGTAAAGGTTATTTCATATTAATTGCATTAGATCTAGATACATATCCTGAAAACAAATATTTTGAGAGCTCTGTGATGAGCCAATATCATATTTAAAGGCATATTAATCCGATTTAAAAAAACATAGAATGCGTAATGTTTAGTTTTTTCAGTGGTTTTAAAGTGCAGATATCGACAGTCTCATTTATTGTTATCAAGAGTAAAGTTTTCCAAAGCTTTTTGATGTAGTATTCACATTTGATAACCTTTGGAAAGAATGAAGTGAGAACTGAATAACTCATTGGTTTCATGACATGAAAAATAGTTGAAGTACACTATCTTGCATTTATTTGTTAGAAAAGTTTCTAACATTCTGTTTCGTAATTGTCCTAGTTGTAAAAAACAGTGCAGCCAGTTGACATCACATCTAGAGTATTGATCAAGTAAATACTTAAGCGCAAAGTTATATCTAAAGCAATGACCATTTAAATTTTTCGTTGCGTGAGCAGTATAACGATGAGATTTACCAAGTAAGATGAATTCATTGTATTTTATAGGTTTGGCCAAAAAAGGTTAAGAAGGTATTTTAGCGTAATGAATCAAGAATACATAACATGCAGCAAGTAATTCTCCTTTTTATGTATTGTATCCATCAAACATTTGCGCAGTGTGAAAATAATCAATGTATTATAAATGTATTTGTAATGAATACTTGTGCTAAATTTTTTCTATGCAGTTGTAGCATAATAATAGCATTATAGTAATGATGGAAAGTAGCTAGCAGTGAAATACAGGATGAGCATTTCGTCTGATTTGGAACTCGTCAGCTGGATGTACCTGCCTTCCAGTGAGTGATGTCATTCCAGCCGGGATTCGGACTCGGGACCGACTGCTTCAAATACCAGAGCGTTATCCACTAAATACAACAAGCTGAAGAGTCTCAAATAGGACAAAACGTGCGTTCTGTATTCCACTGCTAGCTACTATTAACATAATAATAATAATAATAATAATAATAATAATAATAATAATAATGGTGATCGCTTCATACCAAGCAATATGTATGATATAGTGTGGAATTCTGAGCTTGTAATTTTAAAAAGTCACTTGCAGAACAATATTTTCAGACGAAAGGGTTATTGTATCTGAATGATGTTAATAATAGCAGTACCCAAAGCAATAATGTAAAATAACTAGTGTAAGATTAGCGTTCGGTTGAGAATGACTAGTCAACAAAAACGTCTGCGCATGTTTGGTGGCGGTGGTTCATTCAGCCTGTACCAGAATCTGCAACTCAAGCTTAGTAATAGAGGGATAGAAATATGAATTACTTTTATACACTAAAAATCTACCTCCATATAACGTGACATTTTTTCCCTTTGTTTTGTTATAAACTCGAGAAAGTACTAGTTGAAAAGATTTTAAAAATGGGCGAAAGTACTTGATGCGTTCAGAGGACACATTTGAATGATGAAAACACCTGACATATATATTCGATGGAAAATTTCGATAGCCCAGGGTTCAAGCAAACTGCCGTTAATAAAATGTTATATTACTGATTTCTATCTTAGACTGCTTACAAGTGATGGAAATCTGTGAATCAACATGGACTTTCTTTAATTTTGAAGATAGCATCATTTTTACTATGGTCAAGCCTTAGTTATGCCTGCTAAGTTTACGTCTTCTGTGTATTGTCTTTTTGCACAGCAATTAAATAAGGTTTCTATAAACGTTTGCAAACTAACGGAATACTAGTTTTGGTCACCGTTTCCTGCAGCACAGTTATGAGTCATTTTATACATAAGTTCTACCGATTACTTCTTTGATTTTGTGCAGTAATTTTAGTCCCTGAGAGCTTGTATGGTTGAGTGCATTTATACCATAAGAACATCAAAAACGGTGTTCTTCCTTAAGCGACGGCCAAAAAAGTGCTTATTTAACAAGATCTGTTGTATATAATGTACAGATGTGATAGATGATGGCTGCGGCATACTGACCAAAACATTTATAGAAAATGGATATGTGTTGAAGTTTATACACTGTTGTGGAAGTCAGCTAATATTAAAGCGTTTCCTAAACTCAGTCCCATAGGAAAACTTGGATATTACTTTACCCTACAGACGGATGTTCAATAGCACACGATTTTGAGACGGAAGATAAGATCTGTCATTGTTTATACTTACTAGGTGGCCAAGCTTATCACTGTTAAAAAAACGAACCACAGGCTTCACCACAAACTTAAACTTTGCCTAAATGACTGCGTTAATTTCCATTGTGCTTATCAGTTCACATGTGCTTTGAAGATAAATACATAGACAAGAGTAATCGAAGCATGCAGTCGGAGGTAGGTGCTGAAATGGCTTCGAAAAGAGCGGTAGTGTTAAGCGTTAATAGGTGTAGGTATGAGAAAACTCTTTTCATTGATAGCCAAACATATCAGAGCAACAGGTAGCAGAATTAATGTTCCAACTCTTTTTTAGAGAAACGATTATTGACGCATACCAAAGTGATAGCCATAAGCAAACTGAAATCACCTTGTACTTACACTAAACCATGCTTGGTAAACTTTATCTTAGTATCAAGAGTATGATGAAACAAGTCATTCTTGTTTTAATTTTAACCCGTATTATAATAATATTGTTTGATTTGCCCTCCTGTTCTTAAGTTTTAGGTAAATTGACTTGACAAGTTATTTTGCGTTCAAAGTGCTCGGAATGTACTGGGCGAATATATCATATTGTTCAGATAAACATCGTCTTTTCGTTACTTTATCCAGATTTACAAAAGGCGCTAACTGTTTCATTTCACTAGTCAAGTGGAATGGCTTAGTTATCTGTCGGTTGCTAGTCTGGTGAAGCTTCACCAAAAAATTAAACCGATGGTTAATAATACAGCCATCCACGCTGCTCATTATCGTTTCCGTCATCATTTCTTTTGAGAGAAAACTATCTGTTCATAACAGCCTTTAGTTCCTTTTTTCGTTTCATACGTTTTTGGTTGTGTAAGCTACATGTATATCGTTTAAGTGAAGAAACTTAAAAGTTCAAACGAAATTTAACCTTTTATTAGACCTTATAGCCGTTAATCGAAATAGTTGTTAGTCAGTGAAAGCAAAAAGACAGAAATATTTCTGACTGATCTGAAAATAGAAGAAGTAACTTTATGAATACATCGCTGAAGAAACGGTAATGTTGTGATAAAAAAACTATTCATAAATCTTGGCTGCATACCAACTGCCTATCAGGATGATAAACGATACGCATCGTTGCGATAATACTTACTAAAACCTGGGTCAAAAACCTGCTGAAATCCAGTAGAGAATTCTTCAGTAAAATACACCTTGGTTTCAGTAAACGTTTCGTTTTGTGTCAACAATCAATGCAAGTTTTCCTAACTTAGAAACTCAAGGCTCTCCAGCAATAATCCTGACCAATATAGTTATTATTATAAAATGGACGAGTCTCATTATTTTATCATTTACTTGGTGTCGGTTAGCAGTGGATTTCACTTCATCTCCATAGAAGTCTAAATACCAACGGTGGTTGATCAATTCATCCCAGGATAATAACGGGAGACTGCAAGTATCAATGAATAATGAATCAATCAATAATGAATTAGTTTCACTTACAAGGTGCACGCTCACACTGTACATACTTTTAAAACACGTGATGATTTCGTAGAATTCTAGCTAGTAACTTTGTAAGACATACAAAGCCGTTGCAAAATAATCTTACGCAAAAAAGCAAACAAGTGAAAGCATAGAAGAACTAGTAGGGTAATTCACTTCAGTCAAAACACACCTACTCTTGTCTTTCCGTACTGTGTGATTTTAGTTTAAGACCAAGCGAAAATAATTTGAGTATATTCCAGAAATAAAAATTACACATCATCACCTCTAAATCTAAATAGTAAAATGAATATTTATTGAGTTTCGTTATCTTGGTTTATCAATTAATATTAGTTGTAGAAGTATAATAATAGCAATAGTTATAATAGTGGTAACAGGAAACCAGGGTGATAATCAAAGTTTTCTGACTAAAAATGACGATCCAGCGCCTCAAGGTATTTTGAATCAATGGCTTTGGGGATAAGAGTATGCCTGAAAGGAAATAAAAAAAGTGTTAACTTCAAGCATATTAAGATTGATACACTTGTTTTCTAAGATTGTATTAGCGGCTGTGTTGTGAAATAACACGTAAGTTAAACAAAATGAACTTTTGGTAACACAATGTGCTTTGTATCTTGGACACCGAACACAGATAGCAGTTGGTTGTTACAGTAAACGAATGGAGGATTTCGGTGTAACTTCAATGATGCGGTTCTAGTCGTTACATATCTGAAGAACTGAAAATTAAATACAATGAAATTGCCTTACTGTGAGACTTTTAATTCCACAATTTCACTGATAATTGTCCGTATAGATTTTAAGACCTGCTATCATCGTGAAGACTAGTGAGGGTGGCAAGGTGCAATAAATGGCTGCACGTTTTGCGCTTAACTTTCGTAGTCTGCAAGTTTAAAATCTGCATCACCTGTTGAACACCTTAGAATAAATAATCTACAGTTTTAGTTGGCTAGTAATAAAGTGTATCTATATTTCAGTGTCAAAGGAGGAACTTCAGTTAGTTAACAACATACTTCAAAATGCATATTTGTGTAAATATCATACAAAAGAGAAACGAGTAGTATTTACTAGATGAAACGATTTCTTATAAATCTGTCCGTAAAAATAAACGCATATTTCATAGACTAAATATTCGCCAATAGTTTTATGGCAGCTGAAAGCTTAATTGCGATTCATTGAAATATACACTCAATTTTAATCCAGTGAGTCGTGGGTCTCAGGTTCACTTCAACTATCTAAGTAACAACAACCGAATAGCATCGTTGCTCATGGTTCAAAGTCTAGATAGAATACACAAAGGTGATTGGTGTGCATAACTAATATATCAGTGTCACAAAACCCAATCTTCAGAAACATTTCAGCACAATGATTGAGGTACCTTTCATTCACTTTAGCCTGTTCCACTTTTACAGTTTGATAATACTGGCTTGTTGGAATCCAGTGGTTATTCCAACCCGTAAATTGAGCAATGTGCTCGAGCAGAAAACACGTAAGATTAGACATAGGCCATACTAGGCATAATGAAGTGGGAGCCTAAACCTGTCTCCATCATTAGTGTAAAACACTGACTGACTAAAGTAAAGAACTGGTAGTGCACTAATTGCCTAGCTGTTTTTACAACCGGTAGTTACCCTTCTGTATTGTTGAAGTGCCATTAGTAACACAAATAGACTTCAGTCAAACAACAGCTGACTGAAAACCGAAGAAGCACAATATATATATTTTCCTATCCAGAGGTCACATATTACTCGTAGTCGGTTACCTTTTACAGAGTAAAATAGTAAAGGATTAAAAGATGCGTTATCGTGATATATTTGTTATCATCTTCGGGTTTAATTCACTAATGGCACATCAGGAAAACTTGTTTTTCTAATCGAGTCGGTGAGGTATTGTAAGAGTTATTTGTTAAGATGTCTCACAAATATACTGGATTACTTATTTAGTGATTCTTCTGGTTTTTCTACAATTACAGTCATTATGCAGTTGAACTTGTTATAGGTGATACTGACAAATTATCTCGAACTAAGTAATTTGAATTCCTTACCTACATTATTGATGGAATCTATCAAGACTAACTAGTAAATTCAGTGCTGACGGTAATGATTGAAGGCTATGAGAAATAAACATTTAATATGATGACACTGAAAAACTGTTCACGAGATTCATTTTTCCCATGTCCTTAGCATCAAAAATACTGGTTTTTTCAATTCGCTTTCTGCTGGCAGTTTCTCTCAGAATCACTTTAGTTCCTATATTTCTTGGAAATTATACCGACGTCAATATAAAAGTAGGATGTATACTTGTAGAGTATGACTGCGTCATAGTTCCCTTCTTATGCACACCAAACGATGAAAGAGTATTAATTCCTGATGATGTTTCGATCAAAGCGTGTCGCTCATAATTATATCAATTGTATTCACGCGGTTTTCTAGCTTAATCTTTCATAAATCTTTTGTTTTATTATTTGATTTGGTTGGTAGTAGGATTTTCCGCATATCCAGGATTGGTTTCACTTCATTTCTGTTACTTGTCGGGTGTCAGTTTGATGAACACAGCTTAAGTTGTGAATCTCTCTCACCACCTACCCAAGATATTTGTCAGAATTGTGACTCTATTTCATCTCATTGGATGGTTGTGTGTTGGCACATACGGCTACTACCGACCTATTCTCGAGATATTTTGTGTTGCTAGGCTCTGCTACTCTATATTTATCTATTTTTCCATGTTCTCTAACACTGAGTGACTTTCCTTGGCCACCTTGACCTATATTTTCATCCTGGCAGCCATCACTTGGAATTCGGTTGCCTTTGATAAGTTCAATGAGGTCGCTTAGACGAAAACGTTTTTCTACAAATGAATTTGTGTATTCGTACTCCAATGTAATGCCGACCTTAGCTGGGTTTCGATGCAAGACTTCTGATACCCTTCCTTCGCATGGTAAAACTTTGGAGGTAAGAAAATCACTTTTTGTGGTTGCACGATTACTGTGAAATGATTATGACCGATAAATCCTACTCCAAACGTGTTCCACTATGTAATACTGTTTCATTACATGATGCATCTAAAAAATATAATGGAATTATTCCCCAAGTTTTGCACTTTACTTTGTCATTCCCTTTGCAAATCAACTTTATTATTAATGATATGATCAAATAAACAGAAAAAAGAAAAAATGAATTCCGTTACAAGCCATTGGGGTTTATGCACCTTTATAATGAGGATCTGAATAACGCCTTACGATACATTGCTTTTTCAGAAGTTTAGCTCTTAGTTTATTGGTTTGGTAAGTGTACTTAGAATCAGAATTCCATGGATTCTAAACGATGTGAATCTCATTCGTGACTAGCTGTTTCAGGTTCTGAGAACTTTAAGTTAAATGCTAGGTCACAGAAGCAAAAGGCTAGACTCTTGATCATTAGTCATGGAAGTCGACGTCTGCATGAATTGTCAGACAATATCTTAAGACCCAGGGACTTAAATGCTAACGTAAATATGGAAAAGATGTTTGCATTTATCCGTCGGTAACCATGTAGGATAATGTACAGAGATACATTTTGAAGGTCATCGCTTCGTGCGGCCTGACATAAATGCCATCAAAGATTATTATACAAGATTCGCTGTAGGAAACAGAACTTTTGACATCCAGAAGACAATACAGCCTCTACCTTTCACTTCCTGATACCAACTTAAGTGAGATGTGTTGAGACTTTATTTATGAAGAGTTAATATTCAAACAACATTTTACTAATCATCACATAGTTCCTAAGAAATAAAGTCAGACTTATGTATAACTGCATACTGAATTGCTTACTTGATATATTGCTCACTTAAACAGGATTATTCATTAAATAACAACGATAACATTGATTAAGTATATGCTATATCAGATAAAAAAAATTGATGCAGAAATATGGTGCTGAACAACTTGAGTAGTTGGAAACCACTCAGACTGCTCTGCAGACGCTCTATTTAGAAATTTTTTGATCTACATAGTGAAACTTGTATTCCAGTAGTTTATTTTGATACTTCATAATCATTTTGTTTCAGAGATCCCACCTTGTCATTTTTGCTAGGTGGTTTATAACGAAGTCCTGTTTACACGAAGTTGGGTGGTTGAAAAACTGCTCAGCTGTGAGAAATGTCAACATGGTTCGTTCACTTGTAAATTATTTGCAAATTATTCTGATATAAAAATATATTGAATCACAATGCTCAGGGATTAATAAATAGGCAAGGATGGAAGTATCTTTATTCAAGTGTGATAAGTGGAACGATAATACTTGAACTATATATGTAAATATATATATATATATATATATATATATATATATATATATATATATAAATGTGTACAGACAAGGAGGCAGAAAGGCAGTTCTTAAAAGAAGAATCTTCCTGATTACTGAGGTTTGTAGGTCCCAGAATGTAAAAATGACTGGAAGTTGAATTATGGTTACATTTTTTTCGTATCAGTATATTTATAATGATCAACGATTGTGTGCAATCTGCTTTCCTGTCATCATAGGTGTCTATCATATTATATTGAATATCAAAAAACTGCTGAATTGATGGGAAGAAAGAATCACGAATAGATAACTTAGATTTATCAGTATTTTCTGACTTGCAAATATAGTTCATCTTTTTTTGCAATAACATGGCCTGATAACTAGTTCAGTAGTTACTAACCGGTCCAAGCCCGGATAAAGAGGGAAGGTTTGACATAGGGATAGCAACCCTACCCCGAAAATCAATCCAATCACTACAGAAAATTAAAAGCACAAAGAAATCATAAAAAATAAAACAAACTTATTCCTCACTGGAATCAGGGAGACGAAATGACGACAGTTGGTTGGTGAAAGCCTTCGGGAAGCCAATTGGCCTATGTGTCTTCACCTCTATCGATGAAAGCAAAAGTAAACGTGGGGACATGGAATGTCTGCACAATGCATGAAACTAGCAAGGCCGCACAGATTGCAAACGAGATGAGAAGATATGGCATTAAAGTGCTAGGAATCTGCGAAAGCAGATACAACGGAATTTGACTCTCCAAACTATCAACAGGAGAGTCGATAATCTACTCCGATATTATCACCCAAACGACAAGCACGAGCACACTGAGTTATGCAGTGGCTATCATGTTGTCCATTTGAAGAGCATCGAAGGCTGTCTCTCGTGCAGTGGGAACCAATCTACTCCAGCATCAGGATCATGACAGCAAGATTCAACTCAAAAGGAAAGCAAGTCACAATCATTCAATGCTACGCTATGCACCTACAATTACTGCAGATGAAGAGAAGAAGAAGAGTTCCACAGACAACTGCAATAAACACTGGACAACACCCCCAGCCCAGTCAGCGACATCAAAATTCATTCTAATGGGCAGGGTGACATGAATGCCAAACTCGGAGGGACAACACAGGGAGAGAACTGACCGTAGATCGACAGGCACACGGTGAAATGAATGAGAGCGGAGAACTGTTTGCAGACTTCTGTGCGTTCAACGATATGGTGTTTGGAGGCGAGGCACTGTGTTCAAGCACAAGGATATCCACAAAGCGACATGGATTTCACCAGACACCAGGACACACTAAAAATCAGGTCGACTTCATTCCATCTGAAGAAAGTGGAGATGCAGCCTACTGGACACAGGATCAGATCAAGAAGAGAGAGGAGCAGAAGTTGGTTCACTCCAAAACCTATCTGATGCAGGGAACCTATCTTCAAAATCAAGTTGAAAGCCTTCAAAGAAGTTGGTGGTAGATCACACTTAGTGTTCAACACCCACAACACAAAGTGGAGGACGAAACTACAAGGGACATCTTCACATGAGTCAGCCATCAGGACAAAATGGGAGATATTGAGCAACATCCCTGAAGAAACCTGTGTGGAAGAACACTGGAAGTCTTTGAAAGCTGTGTGGAAAGAAACCTGCATAACTGTACTAGGAAGGAAGAGGAAACAAGCCAAGGAATGGATCTCGATGGATGCATGGAAGCTGATAGAGCAGGGAGAGGAGGATGGTGAAGCAGAAGATGAATCAGTACAATGATGAACTATGAGAAGAGGAAGTGAACACAACCTACACAACACTGGACAAAGAAGTGAAGAAGAGTGCGTGCAAAGGCGACAGGCACTTCTACGACACACTGGCCAGTGAGACATAACAGGCTGCAGGTGGGAGAGTCAGAGACCTGACAACACAATATCAAATAACCAGGTTACTATCTCTATCTGGGAGGGAAGAGATCAACACAGCACAGACGAAACCAATAAAAGATGATGAAGGAAATTTAATGAACAAAGAAGAGAAACAAAGGAATTGATGGACTGACCACTTCGAAAAGCTCTTGAATCGACCACCACCACCACCACCTGCAACTCGTCCAGAAATGCCACCAGTAACGGCAGAACTACAAGTGAACACAAATCCCTATACAGAAGTCGAAGTCCCGAGCGCCATAAAGCTACTGAAATCCAGGAGAGTAGCAGGACCAGATGGGATCGCGCCAGAAGCACTGAGAGCAGACGCAGAAACAACAGCAGATATGTTCACACCACTACTCCAGAAGGTGTGGAAGGAAGGAAAGGAACCTGTATATTGGAAGAAGGGCTGCCTCGTCAAACTCCCGAAGAATGGAGACCTCAGTGTTTGCGAGAACTGGCACGGAATCACGCTCCACTCCTGTCCACCCAATGCAAGCAGAATATTACGCTGCATCATCCTAGAGAGACAAAAGGATGAGCTGGATTCAAAATTACGACTAGAACAGGCTGACTGGCCGAATTCAGAATGAACAAATCATATGCGGATCAAATTTCAACGTTATGCCACGCATCATCATAGAACAGAGTATGGAATGGCAGTCAACTCTCTACCTCAACTTCATCGACTTTGAAAAGGCTTTTGACAGCGTCGACCGACAAGTAATTTGGCAGGCAGTTGCTTCAGCACTACGAAGTGACACTAGTCTATATCAACCTGATTCAACAACAGCTATATGAAGACGCCACATACCAAATGATTCACAACGCGAAGCTCAGTGATACCTTCAAAGTGAAGACAGGAGTAAGACAAGGCTGTCCTCTATCATCACCGATAATCTTCCTGATTGTCATCGACTGGACTGGATCATGCAGGAAACCGTGAGGAGTGAGAAGAGGAGCATACGCTGGCTGGACGGATGAAAAGGCCCCAGAAGAAGATTCGGATTTCGCCGATGATCATTTATGTCTAATGTCTTGTCGCACAAACTCGAAGATCTACAGGCGAAAACTAATAAGTTGATGGAAGAGGCGAGGCAGCAAAAACGAGACTTCAAGTGAATGCAGAGAAGACATAGGTGATGAGGATACCCAACCAACAACAAGCATCAATCACCATTAACGAGAGAAGCCTAAAGGAAGTAGTCTTTCATCTATCTAGGCAGCATCGTTTCAACTACAGGCGGCACAGGCACAGACGAAGATGTCAAAACCAGGATTAAAAAGCGAGATAGGCGTTCATTAGCTTGAAATCAGTGTGGAGATCTTCTGCATTCGGCATAAAGCCTGAACAAGATCTAGGTTTTCAACACCAACGTCAAGTCAGTGTTTCTATTTGATGGTTGAGAAACTTGATGCGTTACGAAATGGATTTCCAAAAGACTACAGACATTCATCAACAACTGCCGCCTACGCTGGCTGGTTACTGAAGCTCAGATGGATTGCCAGAAAGAATAAGCAACAAGGAACTGTGGTTGGCAACGAACCAACCAAGAACCTATCACTAAACAAATATGCACTGGAAGGAAGTGGAGATGGATAGATTGGACATGCACTGAGGAAACCATTTGGGGACATCACGTGCCAGGCCGGGCCCGTGAGCGTCATCCTAATGAGAAAGGACGAGTTGAGCGTCCCAGCTGAGGATGACATGGAGGAAATGGTGTGAGAGAGAAATGAGAGCTTCTTGGCTGTTGTAGAGCGAAGTTGAAAAGACTGTAGAGAAGAGAGTGCAATGGAGGCGTGCTACTGATGCCCTATGTTCCACTAGGAACCCAAAGGACAAATAATAAAAGAATAGAATGCTTTGCTTTTGATAATGTGAATGGGGAATAATTTCATCATTTTTATGCTAATCATCTGCCTTCATTTACCAGTTAACTGCATTTCAGATTTTGGTTCATGATCTGATTGATAAACTTCAGAATATCGTGAGTATCAGGAAAAAATCTCCACAGGAAATGATTTTGAGAGACATGAGACTTGGGATACGAGTTATGTGCGATCAGCGGTTCGGTTGTCTGATTTGAACCAACTTACCTTCACTGTTTTCTGAGCACACCCCAAACTACTAGTACTTGAATCATTTGACCTATTTATTAAGCATAATTAGCTGGTCTCAATAACTGTTATCCAGTTATTTGGTTCAGTAGCGTGTTTCACACCATAAAACAAAAACATTCAATAATTTGTTACATGAAAATCATCTTACCTTAAAACTATTTGTACGACAAGTATAACAGGAAATATTAATTTCACATATGGGCTAGGAGCGAATCCAAATGCACAAAGAAAGCCCAATTGAATCAGTTGAAAAAATGTAAACAAATGAAGTTTTCTTTGTGGAACTCGCCTTATATAATGTGATGGTGGATAAGCTGACTAAAGTTTACAGAAAGATTAAAAGTTCAAAACAGCATGAAAACAACTCAAAATTGTTAATTCTTTTTAATTATCATATTCAACATACGATACTGGTTGTCTATACAGTTGCTTACTCCAAGGAACACCTTGTTGAATATTCAGCTGTTTTATACGTAACTGTCGACCAGGGCATATGCACTAGGTTAGTAGATCTATTTTCCAACATCGTGGAAGGGTAATGTACCGTGTGAGAGTGGGATGCGAAATCCGGATGCGTCACCACAACGAATTACCGCGTCGAAAAACGATAGGAAAAGAAGAAACAACGTATGACCTACCATTAGATTTGCTGCTTGATACATTCAAACTGCCACCAGCATCAGTGGGCTGTCCACTTACTCAAAAACCTCCTAAGAATGTCAACCTGCTTCTAAGGCAAAGGGGTGATTGTCTTTTCCGACCGATAGTGCCAATAAAGGTCAAACCAAAAGGTTTTAGAGATGCCTATGTCCCTAATATTCCATACTTAAAATCTGTAAAAATTTGAACTGTTTTTGCGCTCATTTTCCTGCACATGGGTAACATCTCATATAACTTGCTGAGGTATGATTGGCTTCTGCCTCTCTAGATATACTAATCATTCCTCGTCTTCCAAGGTTATTGTAACCTCTACAAATAGAGTCCATTTTCATCAATAAACTCTTTCAGCTCGAGGTACTATAAAGCCAACCGTCTTCCAGTCTTTCGGTTCCTCTTTGCGAATCACTCTGTTTGGACCGTCTCAACCCTCGACTATCAATCGTTAATTATTATTGTTCGTCTTCACAACTCAGCATCGTAATAGTAGTATTTTGTTTAGTACTCCATCAGGGTAATCTTCAGAATTTCTAAGATTTCGTCAGTTCGGTAACTGAATTAGGAGGTTTGCAGTGACTGGTTGATTTCGGGGTAGTATTCATAGGCGTTAGTGATTTGCTGTTTTGTGCAAATAAGTGGCATTTTTCGACATGGATTTTCCAAAGTTCTAATCAAAATTCATGATCAGTTGCTTCAACCAGGTCAAAATTGGATATAAATACTCGATGGTGACATTAAATAATTATCGCAAATCGACGGAAGTGGGAAAATATCCACCATTGTATTCTTATTCGGTGGCCGAATAATAACATCCTCACAGTGAGTGTTAAAAATCTAGAATTCAATTCGTGATTGGGTCTTATGTGTGCACTACTAAGGAGTTTCACGCGAAGATGAGATGGCTATCCAATCCGGGTTTTTAGTGGTTCTGCAACTGATATTAGTTTGTGATGAATACTTAATTGAAACTGTCAGTTCTGATCTGAAATTCCTTTCTTCTCTGATTTATTGCTGCTAGTTTGCGCATGAAGCTTCATTCATCTATCTGAGAAGATCAATTAAGGCTTTACCTTCGAGAGAGGGAGCTGAGTGACTTAGGCAGATATTCGGTTGATAAAAGGCCAAACAGTTTGGTTTCAGACGTTGAAAACATTTGATAGGAAGTAAATACGGGTTTGTTTCTATCTTTTACTGTTGGTAGCTCAAAGAACTTACTTGAAACTTTCGGGAAAATTCTGTTTAATGGAAGATTAAGTAACAAGATTCTTCTTTTATACATACCAAATAGCATGACTTTGAAATGTTTGCGAACCAATATTTCAGCCTAGAGAATAACCCAGTCTGAAAAATTGAATCTTTCATTGTGATGAACGTTACACATTTTGCTTATTTCTTTGTAAAAGTTTGCAGATTGCCATCATCTACATTAATAAAATTGGCTGTTCTTCATGTGAAATTTACTAATATCTGTATTCCTTTGGTATATAGAAACCATAAATATCGCATACTATAGTTTATGCACAAAATGTTTGAGTAAACTTGTGGTACTCAATGTATATTAACGGAATATATTTGTGAGTTGCATAAGACAACAGTTTATAACTAAGTTTATTCATTTACTAGTCAGTAATAGATGTTTAAAAACAAATCCTAAAGTTGTGAGTAACAACTAAAATTGTGTAGGAAGACTATTTACACATTTCCATACAAATTATCTTAACATGAATAGTGCATATAAATGGTGGGTTGTATTACTTGATTGCTATATCATATATCATGATTGACTGAATTTTACCATTTCTGACGACTAAAGTATGACGAGTGTAATTGTACATTGACCAGTTAATTTCATGCCGTCTAGTTTTGAGCGCTGACCAAATTCTATTGATCATTTTAAACTATGGTCACCAAGCATGGAGGCTGACAATTACGGCGCGTTTTGAATGTTATTGTTCAAGTCTATGAATAATTGTCTGTCATTTACACCTTCATTTGATTCTTTAGTTTTCAATTCAAAAATATTCATTTTGTCTGAAGCTGCTCGAATAACTTGTATAAGACTGTTTAGAATATTGTTTCAGCATTTGTTTTCCAGTTAATTGTATAGAGTTTGCCACAGTAACAAAGGACCTCTGAATCACGATGCACTTTAAGTCTTGCTGACCTAGAGTAGACCTTTTAAGAGGTTTTGAATATTACTTTGGGTTCCGATAATTGTGCCCTTAACCAGTCTGACGCTTTCTAAGGTCCACCTGTCCCCTTATTCTTTCGTTCTTTTTGATTCATAGTCACGAGATTTTTAGTTTGAAACTGATCTGCCAGTCATATTAGGTGAACTAGTAGGCATGGACAGCAAAAGATTTTAAGACCACTGCTTTCCACACATGGGACAAAAGTGTTGAGGATACAGTGGAAAAACTCACTTGTTCTGTGATGAATAGCAGTATTCTTTCAAACATTTGATTGTCCTGCAATGCTGTTATAGCCATGTAAACAAACAGTCCATTTAATACTGGTGGTGGAATATAAACTAATGGGATAGGTATCATAGCCAGCGATAACCCAATAAGTATGTGAGATATAATCAGCGTTAGTCTCGTCTCCCGCACCCGAATAATACTGGAAAACGTTTTGAGAAGAAAAAAAATTATTTTCATATTTCATTCCTACTAATATGCCTCATTTAATAATTATTGTTAAATATACTTGAATGTCTAAGGAGATGAAATACTTAGGCTCATAGCCCAAAAAACCAAAACCAAAAACCTTAATGGACCGTGCCGAGTAAAAGTCAAACTATTTTATTGTGTGGTAAAATCAAGCTGACTCCTTTAGCCTTTCAATATGTCTAGATGTTTAATTGCTCATTAAATCTAGTTATCTAGGCTACATAAAGAGTGCACCTTTTTAAACGCATCTGCCAAAATCATTTAATGTAACTTTTGACAAAAGAATGTTATTCAGTCACCGAATCATTTCTTTAACGTCTAGTCAGTTCTGGCTATGTAGCCCTCCTGGAGTGCTTCAATGTTACCTGCGAATTCAAAGACACACGTTGAAAAGGAGTGTGCTTACTTACATGCTGTAGAGACGTTTACAATTTATGAATTCAAGCGGGATTTCCGAGTAGAGAAGAAATATTCTAAGTCTTCTCTCTTATTACGGTCATGACCTTATTCCCTGTTTGTAATTTCATCATAACTGATCAATTCCCTTTCGTGACCGTTGCTATTTTATTCACCTTTAGCTCCATCAGCTGAGTATCAGACCGTTTTACCTTACACTTATCAGTAGTTTTCATCGCATCAAGTTTCATACCTTCTTTTTTTTTGAGCCTTCTTTGAGCCTACTATTCACTAGTAAACTATAAAATTCAATCATACAGCTTTCAAAAACAATATTACTGAAAAATTAAATATTCATAGGATCCTTTTTCGCTTTAGTACTCATCTTTTCAACGATGGTGAACTATTTGAAAAGGATTCGTAAAGAGATTAGTCACGGTTTCTCAAATCTAGTTAAAATTCATCTGGAAGAAAGTTGCATTCTGTTCATTCATTGATACTGGTTTGACTTTTTCAGTGAACACCTAAATATCATATATTCGCAAAACGTTGTAGCTTATTTTTATCGACCCTCTAAATAAATCGAGTACTTTACCAGGTATCCGATAAGAACGTTTTTAGTATGCCAATGAAGTGTTAGTGCATTGTGAAATAGATTACGAAAGTTTTTAATGTAAAGTTTACGCACATAATTGTAAATTTTTATTTTAGTAATAATTCGAGCAAAATAACTGCACATGATGACACCAACAGTTTTATTATTTTAGCAATATTTATTTTATAGTAGTAAATATTACCAAAATAAAACTTATGATTATGCGTAAACTTTGCATTACAAATTTACTTATGACACATTAACGAGTTTTGTGTTGAAATTCGTTTTATTCATCTTTCTACTAAATAAATTTACGTAGTTGTTATACGAATCACTTGATGTCAACTATTTTTTTTTCCGGTATAGTATCTACTTGTTTTCATCTATATATACACCAGTTAACACCATTAGGTGAATAAAAAGGTACTTTTTCTTTGATGAACAATCATTCCTACTGTGACTGTGAATAAGACCTTAAAAAGAAAAGAAAAGAAATACTTGAGATGAGTACAAAGGTTTCTTGAAGTGGTGCGTTGACAAAATGGGATTAAGGTCACTTAATTCTTTTCCCTTTGATTCAAATCAACTTGCCTAATATAACTCATTTTTATCTAATCTGATCTATTAGTAAGCTTGTGGATTTTTTATAATACTCTTGCTAGATTTTCATTGCTAACAAGTAAGTTAAAGTGTTGTAGGTTCGGATCTAGTATGAATTTCTTATTTCTTTTGACTAATCCATCAGTGAAATAATTTATATACAAATGTAGAATTGATAAGCTACCTCAACATTTAAGTCGAATAATCATTTGGGATGGAGAGAAAACCTCTGCCATGACAGGCCTTATTCAACCGTCTATGGACTGATAGTTCTAATCTCTATTAACTGAGATACAATATGCAATTGATGATTAGATCCTAACTCCACTTCAGTCTCCAGGTATTTTGCATGTGTTTAACTAGTTTCAGTAACGTGGCTATCTGTTTCTCGCTTTTGGTCTACCCATCTAAACATAAACACGCATTAATTGGTAAAGTGAAAGTGGTCGATTCATTTATAATCAGTTTCGACTGAAGAACTGTCACGTGTATCTTATTCTTATAACCTTAGGGCGAAAAAATTGGCAATTAAAGTGATATTTGTAACTTGATGCTTGGTTGGTAAAGCAGACTATCGGTAATCTAGAAGTTGACCCTATTTCAAATATAATCTGTTTATATAAAGTCTATGTCTGTAACCTCTAGGTTCAATATTAAAATAGTGTACCGGTAGCTCAACAAAATAATACTTACCTACTTTCTTAAGTAATGAGAAGTCGAATGAGATGTTACTAGTTCGAAGGGTTTTTCAGGAGAGGGATTTCACTTATGGTAGAAAATACGTGAAAAACCTTTTAAAACTAAACCTGTAGAAACTATCCAGAAGATTTTGTAGGTGAAATTTTTTTCAAAATTATTTGACCACACTAATTTTTCCTCTAGTTAAGTGAGACACACAGTAAAATGGACCTTAATATTATTACTTTGGATTGTTTTTATCAAAAAATTTCATCTTCGTTCTTCTAGAGATAAACTTGTACACTGAGCTCTGATTTTACGTTGTGTTTTTATTTCATTTCGAACAGGTGACGAAGGACTCTAAGTTGAGTCTACAATAAGGTAGGTGGGGTAATGAAATAAAAAATTCGATGTTTCTTTTATCTAGTTTTAGATTTTACGAATGAACTTTAAGTGATTGAACCTAGTTATAACCGAATCGGTATTATGTATTTGCATGTTACCATTTCCACCGTTGAAGTGAGTGGAATTACTGTTATTCTGAAGTAAAAAAGCAACTCACGTCTGTCTGATATGATGCCCACCATCCACATGTTCTTCCATATCTGCTAGAGCTTTAACATGTAATGGGGTATGAGGTAAAGCGGCATGAACCCATGGAAGACAAAATATTGACAGGATAATATTAATTAGAGCTAACACAAATAAATCCCAATGATTTGATGGTCCTTTTCTTAATCTTGAAAGTGAAATCAAAAATGAACATGACATAAATCACTGTTTTATAGCATAATAGCTTAGTATATTTGCATTTCTATCTGTGACTAATGAGCTGAAAGTTGTTCTGAGTTGGTTGACTGATTGCTAAAAGCAATTCTAGTCCGTTTCTATAGTTGAAACAGTTTAATCAAACATATGTTGATATATATTGTGATCTTTTTCTATAAACTAGACTTTAACAAAGAAAGTGGAGTTTGATTTCATGTCTTCTTTCTGTAATTATGTAGATAACACACTAAATTTTACGTAAATACATAAATTAGTTTAATATTTAGTTTTTTCTTATTACTATTCAAAGCCACATTATCTGCATTTCATTTCTACTCAAAATCTAAAAAGCATATGAATGTGATGTGATTATTTGAGCTCTGGTGATGGATCACGACAGATTATATCACTGTTAGTGCTTATGGGCAGCTGAAATGCATGAAAACAGTTCACAGATCATTTAAATTAAGAAAGCATTGGATGAATGCATTGTTTTCGTTTGTGTTTTTTAGAAGGATGTAACCTACTTTATAATGTGTTAAAAAATATTTATCTTTATCATCCTGTTATCTCTGGACACAAGTACATACTGATGCCAACTGCCATATATGCTGAATGAAAAAAGATGTTATATGAGATTCTTCTCCTTTGTAGACCACAAATTAGTGTTGTAGATTTTGAATTTGAAGGCATTCAACTTGATGTTTGACAAATTCATGGACTTATAGCTTTGTAGAGTTCTGAAGTATCGCGAAACCTTTTCTTTACTCGCAATGTTTTTTTCTCAGATTTTTAAAACAAAAGAATTCCATATGTTTGTAAAATAGATGTTTAACTGTCCCTATTACGCGTGTGAGTAGTTGGTTTAATGGACAAAGATTAGTTGACCAATATGTGACCGTGTGTGTTATATCAAACTAACTAATGTAATGTAAAATTGGACTCTACTGTAATGGCTATCGGTAGAATGCATTCTACTTTTATTTCCTATGCACACTTTTTAATTCTGAGATTTGTATAAACTTCTCGAAAATCTATGGAATGAACTTAAAATTTGTTTGATTCTCAAAAAATATAAAGTTGTACTCTTCGGGTACTATTGAACATTTATTCTCAGATCTAGTCGTTATTTAGAAAATTTCTAAATCATAGAACTAAATCGTGTTTTTTTAACCATAGAGGATTCTTTAACAAAACATTCTGTAAAATAAAAATTTCTCCGATGGTATCTGACAAGATGCAGCGTACTTTGTTTTTCTAAAAAATATCAGTAAGGAGTACAGAATCCTTAAATGTGAACTCACCATATTTCTAGCGTGCAGATATATCCTCGCTAATTCCATATTTGAAGATATGGCAGTTGTTTTCATTAGAATAAAGTTGTTCTGATCATGAGACAATAATAATAGAAAATTGGCAATACATAAGGAATAACTGAGAGACCTATGCCATCTTAATTTTAGACACATCAATAACAATATGCTCGTAATTTGCGTTTAACTTTTTAGTACAAATGACACTGTATCTTAAATACTTACTGTTATTCAAAGGGTGCATGAGCAAGTGTCATTTCATTCTGGTGGCACCAAATAAGGAAAACTATAGTGAGAATTTGTTTTGAATCGGTTTATAATTCTGTTAAATAGACACACTTTTGCTACAGTCACTTCTAGCCTTAAGTGACAAAACTTTTAACTATAATCGATAAGTTTGAAACATTATCAAAATCTGAATATGGAACCTACTCTTTAAGCAAGAAGTGTAAGTTCCCGAACTGATTTTTATAATCTTAGCTTTGTAACCTCAAACCTGTGACATCAGACAGAAAGACAAAATCAGTGTAGAATCTGGTACATATGTACATCTGTTCAAGTTGTCACATTATCGGTTGAGAAGACTATTTCATAGTCTCCAACTGGTAAATGCTGAATCCAGATTGATAAATCAGTAAAATTTAACGGAACTTGTGTGTTCCACTATAATACCGATATTCTTGAAAATCCTTCAAATCAACACATTTGATGATTGTCGCTAAAATAGCTACAAATTAAGTATAGTTTCTTTTTAATGCATATTTCACTTTTATTTTGTGAATTCTAGAGGTAAATACCTGTGTATAAGCAGTTCTTATCGTCAACAAATAACTTTTCTATTACCTCACATCCTCTCTTCCTTGGAAACCTAATTTAAGAGTGTCCACCTGCTTATTGAAAAAAATGTTTCACAATGATAAACTAACCAAATACCATAAAATTCAAAACCGATGGCGTTTTCTAACGCATGTAATCCATAATCCTACAGCAAAAAATGTAGCTAAGACAACAACAATAAATCGAACCCGTTGTTCAAGCGATAAATAGATTGGCTCATCTACAACTATCAACAACCTTCATCTCACAACCATTATTGTATGGACAGCTTTTGCTATGTATATTTGAATTACTCCGTAATTACCGTTCTTATCAAGTCACCAAGCTGATTAGAATTGAATTACCTTAAAGGAAACTTGTCACACAATTCAATTGTACTATGAGAATTGATTCTATGTCTATTCCGTCAGCACACTTTACTGGTCATTTTTAATCAGAAAGTGTTCAGTAATTTGTCAACCAGATGTACTGTCACAGTAAAGATGAAGCAGCATTTCATTTAAGATGTCTACTATAACCACAACATAAAAAAATTTGTTTGCATATTCAGTCAATCTATTCATTATGTTTTAGAGAGAGCAGACTGAATCCAGCGAAAGACAACTAATGAACAACTTAAGTGGTTGGAAACCAGTCAAGCTGATGTGTAGTAATTCGCCAGCCAGATCAGAGCGATCTAAACACCGGACGACCGTTTTGCACCTTAGGAACCGAGCTCATCAGAAGTTTACCCAAAAATTCAGCTTATAGATCCAAATGAGCTTGGGTCGCCTGAATCTGGATACCTAACTTTAATGGACTGGTTTTCGCTAAAATAATATCAAGGGGGTTTGAACGAATTGGGCTCTACTGGCTAAACTTGTCCGGTTACACAACTGATAAGCTTTATTTCAAGTAAGTGTTTAGGTCACTCTGATCCGGCTGGAAAAATGCTACACATCAGCCTAAGTAGTTTCTAACCATTCACATTGTTCAGTAGTAGTATCTGCCGCTAGTTCATAATACTTTCATAACAAAGATGACACCTTATGATCTCACTTGAGTGGTTTTCATTGGAAACCTTGTTGACAGCAATTTTTAGAAAATTGGAACTATTTATTGGGGTGATTTACGGTGAATTTTATGACTTATGAATTGTTTTCATCATTTGATAATACTGTCCTAAGAACCATTCAAAACTAGCATGATAATAATAGCTTATTCCTGTGAACAGCTCTATAGTTGGCACTTTTTTATAAATATTTGAGGCACCCATCTGGCACCGAAATAATATCAGATTTCAAAATAACTTGAAAAATAATAAAAAAAACTAAGTGGCAGATAAAAATTGTGCTAACGCGTCAACAGGTGCTTGTAGCTTTTCCAAGGTTTATCTCAATGACTACATATCCACGCATCGGAAACCGCCATTTTGTGTCTTCACAGTAAATAGTCTAGCCACATCTGGCTAGACAAAACTGAAATATTTTCCACCTACGAATCTCCTCTTAACTACTGTTAAAATAGTGCTTTTTGAGGATTTTTAACTCGCTAAACTTCTTTGTACTTATCTTATGTTTTCAGAACTTACATTTAAGTAAGTTACTGGTTCGTATGACACTCATACACACTAATTTACGTTAGGCTGGCTTTGACTTTTCAAAGCAAAATACTCAGGTACTTACACCTAGCACAGTAAGCGCAGCACAGTGACGTTCTCAGCAACCATATGACAACTGAAAAATTAGCTTGGGATTCAGAAAAGAATTTCTGATCGTTATTTTCCTTTCATTACAGAGGTAATTTTGTCTGTTTTAATCAACAAGAATTTCAAAAATTTCAATCCAGGAAGAAAAAACTGTTTAATGATATCCGGTTTTTAAGCTTTCTCCGACTGTTATAAACGTGGGGTGAAAAATATCTTTAAAAACACGACTGATTGAGGAATAAAACAACATCTGCTGCAAAGTGGTTGTTGGTACAAGGCTGTTAATAAATAGAAGTCAGGATTTCGTCTTTCGATGGCCTAAGCGAAGACATTCATATCTTGTTTTTCCTGCATAACTGTACAATAGCGTGCAGAAAAGAAATCTTATCGCCATCAATATGAGTTTATTGGGTGGGCAATGCTCTCGTTGTTATTTTTTGATTATTTGTTGTTTGAAATGTGCACAAGCGGTTGTTTATTGCACTTACGATATGCATCGGTATTAAATATATATTCGCTTAGTTAGCTTTGGAGAAGCTCAATCTTCTAATATTCATTAGGTTTGGCTTTCGGGATAGTTATTGCATGGTGTTTGTGGGTAAATCGTACTAAAGTCATGATTTAAATATCTGACTTGGTCATCCTATCTAATGCACAAAGAACTAGATATAATTTCATTTTTTCAGTCTGTATGAGCTTAAGAGACTAGTTGTAGTTTTTTCTGTAATGCCAAATTAGGAATAATTTCACACTATATGCTTAAGTTTCAGAGCTATTTGAGTTTGGTTCAAATTTTTACTATATATGTATATATATATATATATATATATGTATAAATGACGATTTCTTGGTATTATTAATCAGAAGGTTGGGAACAAGATAAACACTTCTTGAAATCTTTAAAATTATAGCAACAGCCATGACAACTATTACTTACCGGTTTGACGGGGAATTCAAGATAGCACTAGCTATATTTTGCTCCATATAAAATAATAATGATAGTGGTATAGCTATACCAATAGATCCAAGTACAGCGGGCCAACTTAGCAAATTTAACGGTGCTTTGTTCAAAATAAAATCGGATGGCTGAACTTCAAACGGTTTTACTATGAATGAATTAACAGAACACAAATTAGTTATATAGCTATTCGAACTGAGAAAATGATTAGTGTAACCTCAAAGTTCTGGTGAAAGCATACTCTTTAAGTGTTGCAAATAGTCAAGTGGAAATGCTTGAATGCAATACCACACTAATACGTCTTACATATACTGTACAGAGAACAGTATTTTTATTCAAAGGAACTAGTTTATCATTAAAGAAGACAAGCTTTTGTTTGTTAATACTGCTTTTAATCACCTACCTGGTGCTTGATTTTTATCTTACTAGCAAACTGGCAGCAACAGTTTTTATGTGTGTTTTCCTTACCTCTTTTGCAAGCCAAAGTTAAAGTGTAGGAAATAAGGATTAACTGTAGGGAAACTATATACTGAGTGTATATATGCCACTTACGCGTGGTTTTATGAGAGATCGCTGAGGTGTACAAGACGCTAAATATTATCATTATCTACACTTGTTGATTTGAAATCACTGAGCATGCATTTTTCTTAAATTTTCTTTAACATGAAAGACTTCTTAGTTGTTATTCTTAGTCAACATTTCTTTCCTTTTGTAGTATCTTTTAAAAACCACAAACAATGGTTTTATAAATTTATTTAATCACAGTGCTTCCATACATGAGTGGTAATTCGAATCAGCCATAATTTGTTCTTTCATCCGTAGCAGTTTAACCATTTGTAAACGTTACAAACTTTTGGAAGATAAATTATTAAACTCAAATTGTTAGTCGAGAAATGACACTTTGGTAAATTTATCACATTCCATTTCAAGATGACATTTGTTGTTAACTGTCATCATCAGTTACTGTCAAAATATTTTCTTGTTTTAGTAACCCAAATTTCACTACAAATCCTTTATCATGAGTGCTAAAGATGTCTAAATGACTGTAAAGTTAGATTTATATTCAGTACACTTGCATGCCATGCAACATGTGTACAATTAAAATTTGTCGGTAGCATTTTTCATCCATTTTCTGCCTTTGCAGTGACTATTTAAGTAAGTCTGCGTGCTTAGAATTACGGTGTCATCAGATTTTGTGACATTTTCATTCCGTGTAAGACTTTACTTAACACATATGGTTGCAATCATGCACATACGCAGACTCATTTATTCTGTGAAAGGGAAAAGTCTATACGTATAAAGGGCAGGTATGTAGATACCTACCTAGTTACATAGGTGCTTACAACAATGAATGTCAAAAACAGCAAAATGTTTCTCTAATTTTCTCCCTTAAATTTCAACTGGAGCACTATTGTAGCTGGCCGACTTTTAGCTACCTTGTTGTTCTCCATTTGTTATGTACTTATTAGAAGTGGGTCATGAAAAACGTGCTCTTTCAAATATTTTCGAAAGACTGTCTCTACTTTAACTAGTACTAATTTTGCTGTGTTAGGTTAGGTTGTGATGTTTATATGACATTCTTCCAAAGTAATTTTTCAGTAGTTTCAATACTATCAGAAATGTTTTCGATTCAAGACACTATTGATTAAATACATTAGCTTAGGGTTTCAACTGTGGGTAAGAATTCGGAAAAGGAGAATAGCAACGTAGCGTACCTAAATGTTCTGAAACGAGACAAAGTTATTAAAATCAACATCCCTCACTGTATGCTGTTTGGATATAAAACGAAGACAATCACAATGCGTGTATTTCTGTAGTACTACCTCCAAATGCATCATCAAACATTGTGAGTTTCGATATTGTTGTTGACATCAGCCCATCTCGGCTTTCGAATTCGTCTTATTGTTTTTATTGCTAAAGGAACAAAATCTCAATTAGTGACCCTTTCGATTATTTCGGCCGACGTTTTACAAAGTTCAGGGCATACATGCACCGAGTTACTATATTGATCAGATTCCATATGTTCCTTTGGCACGAAAATTAAATCACAGATGGAGGTGAGAACTAGTTAGTTTTCGAAATGACTCTTTGTCGGCATTCTGTATTTACACAAACTTTTATGGGATAATTTTAGGTCATAATCTAGTCAAAAAACACTTTACATAGTTTGGAATGATTGACTCATTGAGATAACTGACTGTATGTTTTGACCAAAACATGACTTGTAGACAACATAATGTAAATTTTCAATATCTAGTTTTACGGTTTCCGGTCTTTTTATTTGAAAAAATTGTGATTACGGTCAGTGAATTGTGACCAAAAGTTACTTAGTAGCAGGAAGTGTATCACTATATGTTACGTCAAATGAACAAACATGGAATTCAATTTTAAGAAAAGGGCTTAAGTCCTAATTTATTTGATTCGTATTTTATCCACGGAAATCATTTCAAAATTGTTCTTGCTTATGATTGGTATGTGTGGTAGTTTTGCAAGTCATTGTAAAGAAATTTTCATATTAATCAATCTTTTTACCGAAAAGGCTAAATTTTATTCAGTAGACTTACATTTTATGTCACCGAATATCAAAGATCCTACAAGAGACATAGTGATGACTGAGATAGGCAGAGCAAAATCTGTTAACATTTCACGTTTTGTAGCGGTTAAGAATGGTCTGTCAAATGAATAGAAAGAAATCAAATCAGTAGAATTAGCAGATGAAAACGGAAGTATTAGTTGAACTATCGTTATTGTCGTTAGAAAATGATTAACATACTACTTATTTTGCTTCGGAAAAGTCCATCCATAAAATGGCATAAAATACACAGCAGTACTACACGAAAGCACTTTCCTTATCACTTTCGATTGTGCACATAATAATAATAAACGTTTATGAGTGAAAAATCTTGTGTGAAGAAAATTTTATGTGATTAAAATGTAATCCAAAATCTCACTGAAGTAGATGTGCATGCATTGAAATTTTGATCCTTTTCAAAGTACATCCCTTTGTATTTTTCAGTGGATAAAAAAAGCAAGAACACTAAATCTTATTCATAATTAGATACGAAACGCATAACACTGGATGTGAATACCCCTGTATTTGAATGCTTTCAAACGGTTTGGTATAAATTTGGTTGATTTACAAAATATGATCTGCCAAATACCGTTACTGATCAAAACCAGACTTATTATTATTTAATTTATAAACACTGACAAAATTTGAAAGAACAGCAATTGACTGGTTAGTTGATAACTCATCTTCACAAACGAAGGTTCTACAGTTGTCAATAAAATTTGGTACCTGTGCAGTTATTTTATTGAACAGTAAAGCCGTAAAATAGTAGTGTAGTGTGAATCATTAAACTTGATCATCTTTGGTGTGGCTTTTGATGAGACTCAGCCGAATGCCTCTTGAATGAAGAAACAATAGGCTGCCTAACATTCTCTTCCTTTTTCAGGCTACCGTCTTTTCAGAATTAACAACCAACTATTAAAAATTCAGAAACTCATGTTTTGCTGATTTTAGGAAAGTATAGTTAATTTTTTCTACCGAATGCATTCAAACATAATAAAATATTGCACAGTCTGGTCACATAAGTAATCATCAACTCATGAAATAATAATTCTATATGCTTAGCTTAAATATTGCCTTTAAGACAGAAGAATTTCTAATTGGACCTAGTACCTAGTATTAGATCCACTTTCAAACCGTTCTAAATCGAGACTTACTAACTCTTATGACTTGAAGCAAAGCTTACATGACATACATTTAGATAACCAGAAAAAATGGTTGGTCTTGTTGCACTTAGTTTATATACTAACATACTGATTGGCATGGCTCTGGAAGCGGTCAGAAACGAGCTCACTGATGACCCTGAGCTTACACTACGAACTAAGGTACTAGAAGATGACATCGTGCAAGGGGTGCAGCTTTGCCTAACTTCCGTAATTCTTAGGTTACAGAATAACATATACAAACAAACAGAAGGAGTTGCCATAGGATCACCAATATCCTCTATTGTGGCTGATATATTTATGGATAGTTGGGAAGGGATGACCGTAGAAAAATTTAACCCAGGTTCAAAATATGGTTTCCATATGTAGACGACACGTTTGCAATGTTGAAATCGAGGCACATACATGGTTTGTTCACACAAATAAATTCAGAAGTCAACGCAGTCCAATTGACCCATGAATTAGAAAATAGAGAAGGAAAAATAGCATTGTTAGATTGTCGAGTAAAAAAACAGGATGAGAGTTGGGACACTAGTTTCTACAGAAAATTTCACATTCAAATCGTCACTTGGACTTCAAATCCTTTCACACCATGTCAGTTAAAGTTGGCCCAATAAAGTGCGTAAGTAACAAGGCAAAAAGCTTACTAGTAAAACAGAAGATCTGACATAAGAAACCAGAAAACTTAAGGATACCTTATTGATCATCAACTACAATTATAAATTAATTGGTAGGTTGCCTTTTACTATTTTGTTTCCCCTAGGATCCTAGTGGAATATTGGGCTTCAGTAGCATGTCCCCATTACACTCTATTCTCCGAAGTCTTTACAAACTCGCCACACCACTGCCCACAAGCTCGCATTTATTCATCACACCACCTCCTCCATGTCACCCTCAGCTGGTATGCCCAACTCGTCGCTTCTCATCTGGGTTCCACTCGACCGCCTTGCCTGGCGCGTGATGTCCCCAATCGGCCTCCTCAGTGTATGCCCAGTACATCTATCTCCACTCCCTCCAGTGCATATTTGTTGAGTGATGGACTCTTGGTTGGTTGGTTAACAGCCAGTCAGACTTCCTTGTTGCTTATTCTTATTATTCTGGCCATCTGATCTTCACTGTCAGTATCGAGCCAGCGTAGTCGGCAGTTGTTGATGGATGTCTGTAGTTTGTTGGAAATGTCTTTCGTAACACGCCAATTCTCTGAACCATATGGAAGCACTGACGTGACTGAATTGGTGTTGAAAATCCTGAAGTTGTTCCACATGCTGAGTTCAGTAGATCTCCACACTGATTTCAGATTAGTGAAAGTTTGTCTTGCTTTTCTGATCCTGGTTTTGACATCCTCTTCTGTGTCGCCTGTGGTTGAAACGATGCTGCTCAGGTGGTAGGTGAAAGAGACTGCTTCCTTTAAGTTTCTGCCGTTTATGGTGATTGGAGCTTGTTGTTGTTGATGGTGTTGTTTGTTGGGTATCCTCATCACCTGCGTCTTCTCTGCATTCACTTGAAGTCTCGTTTTTGCTGCCTCGCCTCTTCCATCAACTTATTAGTTTTCGCCTGTAGATCTTCGAGTTTGTGCGACAAGACATTAGACATAAATGATCATCGTCGAAATCCGAATCTTCTTCTGGGGTCTTTTCATCCGTCCAGCCAGCGTATGCCCCTCTTCTCACTCCTCACGGTTTCCTGCATGATCCAGTCCAGTCGATGACAATCAGGAAGATTATCGGTGATGATAGAAGACAGCCTTGTTTTACTCCTGTCTTCACTTCAAAGTCGTCACTGAGCTTCCATTGTGAATCACTTGGCCTGTAGCCTCATCGCATAGCATAGAGCTGCTGTTGGATGAGGTTGAGAAAGATTTGTGGCACCGAAACCGTAGCATTGAAGCAGTTGCCAAACTACTTCTCGGTCGACGCTGTCGAAGACCTTTTCAAAGTTGATAAGTTTGAGGTAGAGAGTTGACTGCCATTCCATACTCTGTTCTATGATGATGCGTAGCATAACGTTGCAATTTGATCCGCATATGATTTGTTCATTCTGAATTCGGCCAGCCAGCCTGTTCTGGTCGTAATTTTGAATTCAGAGCACATGTCAGTCTCTCCAGGATGATGCAGCATAATATTTTGCTTGCATTGGGTGGACAGGAGTGGAGCATGATTCCGCACCAGTTCTTACAAAGACGCAGGTCTCTCTCTTCTGTGAGAGCTTGACAGGGTACCTCTTCTTCCAACCAGTTGGCAGATACCTTTACTTCATTCCTTCCTTCCAAACCTTCTGGAGTAGTGGTGTGAGCATATCTGCTGTTGTCTCTGCGTCTGTTCTCAGTGCTTTAGGCGGGGTTCCACCTGCTCTGCTGCTTTCCCAAATTTCAGTTGCCTTATAGAGTTCAAGACTTCGAACTTCGTCGGAGGGCTTGTGTTCACTAATAGTTCTGTGGCTGGGCTGCAGGTGGTATTTCTGGACGAGTTGTAGATGGTGGTGGTGGTGGTCGATTCAAGAGCTTTTCGAAGTGGTCAGTCCATCGTTTCCTTTGTTTCTCTTCTTTGTTCATTAAATTTCCTTCATCATCTTTTATTGGTTTCGTCTGCGCTGTGTTGATCTCTTCCCTCCCAGATAGAGATAGTAACCTGGTTATTTGATATTGTGTTGTCAGGTCTCTGACTCTCCCACCTGCAGCCTGTTATGTCTCACTGGCCAGTGTGTCGTAGAAGTGCCTGTCGCCTTTGCACGCACTCTTCTTCACTTCTTTGTCCAGTGTTGTGTAGGTTGTGTTCACTTCCTCTTCTCATAGTTCATCATTGTACTGATTCATCTTCTGCTTCACCATCCTCCTCTCCCTGCTCTATCAGCTTCCATGCATCCATCGAGATCCATTCCTTGGCTTGTTTCCTCTTCCTTCCTAGTACAGTTATGCAGGTTTCTTTCCACACAGCTTTCAAAGACTTCCAGTGTTCTTCCACACAGGTTTCTTCAGGGATGTTGCTCAATATCTCCCATTTTGTCCTGATGGCTGACTCATGTGAAGATGTCCCTTGTAGTTTCGTCCTCCACTTTGTGTTGTGGGTGTTGAACACTAAGTGTGATCTACCACCAACTTCTTTGAAGGCTTTCAACTTGATTTTGAAGATAGGTTCCCTGCATCAGATAGGTTTTGGAGTGAACCAACATCTGCTCCTCTCTCTTCTTGATCTGATCCTGTGTCCAGTAGGCTGCATCTCCACTTTCTTCAGATGGGAATGAAGTCGACCTGATTTTTAGTGTGTCCTGGTGTCTGGTGAAATCCATGTCGCTTTGTGGATATCCTTGTGCTTGAACACAGTGCCTCGCCTCCAAACACCATATCGTTGAACGCACAGAAGTCTGCAAACAGTTCTCCGCTCTCATTCATTTCACCGTGTGCCTGTCGATCTACGGTCAGTTCTCTCCCTGTGTTGTCCCTCCGAGTTTGGCATTCATGTCACCCTGCCCATTAGAATGAAACTTTGATGTCGCTGACTGGGCTGGGGTGTTGTCCAGTGTTTATTGCAGTTGTCTGTGGAACTCCTTCTTCTTCTCTTCATCTGCAGTAATTGTAGGTGCATAGCGTAGCATTGAATGATTGTGACTTGCTTTCCTTTTGAGTTGAATCTTGCTGTCATGATCCTGATGCTGGAGTAGATTGGTTCCCACTGCACGAGAGACAGCCTTCGATGCTCTTCAAATGGACAACATGATAGCCACTGCATAACTCAGTGTGCTCGTGCTTGTCGTTTGGGTGATAATATCGGAGTAGATTACCGACTCTCCTGTTGATAGTTTGGAGAGTCAAATTCCGTTGTATCTGCTTTCGCAGATTCCTAGCACTTTAATGCCATATCTTCTCATCTCGTTTGCAATCTGTGCGGCCTTGCTAGTTTCATGCATTGTGCAGACATTCCATGTCCCCACGTTTACTTTTGC